CAGCTGAGTCTTGAGCTCATTGCTGAATTGGATTCACCACATGAATGTACATTCCCAGAAACCTGGGTGTTCATGTGTGTGTGTGTGTGTTCGTGTGTGTGTGTGTGTGTGTGTGTGTGTGTTTTCGCAGATTTCCTACCAAATCAGGCTCACCCAGCTTCGGGGACCATGGCCCCGGATGCAGCCAACGACATGTCAGAGTGCGACGGCTTTGTTACTATGGCTCCTACCCACTAAAGCCTGCTCGCAGCTGTCGGATATCGCTAGCGGATTCACGGAGAAAACAGAGAATGTGGCAAACTGCAACCTATATCATCCCTGTGGTGCATTCCGCCGCATTACGCCGAAGTGCCTTCACCATCCCATGGTCTGGATCCATCATGGCTGCCAATAGCTTCCGCACAGATCGGGTAGCACAAATGAGGTCCTTCTTGAATTGCTCGGGTCAAGATGTCCACTGTGGACCAGGGGAGGGATCGAGTCAATGGTAGGGCCTGGAGGATGAAATGCACCGGTTTCACTCGTCTTGTAGCCCATGCTGTTCTGAGCCACACTGACAGACGGATCATGTGCCCTGCAGCTGCTCATGAAACCTTCTTGCCGGCATCCCGTCGTCTTGTCTTCGTCGCACCGGGCTCCAGGCCCTTGCCGTGGCCCTTGCCCGGGCCAGCGGCGCCGAAGTTGCCGGAGCCCGGGTCCACGCAAACCAGATTTTTGGCCTTGCAGGTCTCTGTTTCTTTCATATAAGGGTTTAAAGGGAGGGTGCGCCCCCCCTCCCCATCCCCCCCCCACCCCCCCGCGCTCCACGAACTCTCTCTCTCTCTCTCTCGCGACTGTTGTCCTAAACTGACAATGGCCTGACTTCGCCCATCGTTGCTGGAGCCAATGTCGAACTCAAACTGGACTCCGATCAAATTGGCTTCCTGTCCGTGTTGTCGACACAGTGATACCAACTGCGTGTACCAGAGAAGAGTTGCACGCAGTGCAGTAACAGTTGTCCTGCATGCCCGCCGGCAAATCCCGCTTGGCGAAGAAGATGTCAGCTGCAGGGCACATGCATTGGATCTTCGACCCCGACAGACCAGTGGCAGTCAGGAATGTTTTCACAAGGCGAGCATCGACAGTCAGAATGACTCCAGCAATCGGCCCCTGCACGGTGCAAGCGATTAACGCTTCGAATCAGAGTGTTGCCACAGCCCTGGCGGACCCTTTTTGAGTTTTGCAAGGGCTTGCTTCAGCGATACACTCGTCTAGGCTTGTGGAGTAATGCTGGTTGGCTGATGCTACTGTAGACTGCTTCATGCCAAGTCTATCTTTCCACGTGCCTCCATTGGTATTGATGCTCATGAAACCTGTGAACGGCACGAGGCAAGTACGAGCAATTGGTAGGAATCCGCGTGCGTCATGACGCTTTCACACCATCATGCAAAGCAGCGAGATCCGGAGCTATTCAACCGAACAATGGCATCCGTGCTGGAAGCTTTGCAAAGTAAGATGGGTTATTGCCAAGCAGCCGTATCCGCCCTTGCCGGAGAAGCCTTGCAGCCACATCACAACGATTTGTGCTGAGTTTGCAAAACAAGACTGGCTCCGCCCATGAAAGCTCACCCTCAATCTGCACACAAGAAGCGCCGCAAGCGCCCGAGCTGCAGCAGGTCAAGATTAGATGACCCGTTGCCAACCACTGATCTCAACCGCAACGACAAATTGACATCCGTTCATCCGGGCAGTGGTGAGGGCTCGGACCACCAAGCCCGAACGGTCTAAGCGAGGCTTTTGCGCGTCGGGTGCATTAGGCTCTTTTGTTTCCTTTTCTCGGGCCAGTGCCCAGTCAGAAGTAGCAGCACGGACCAACAAAGTGCATGCATGCTATAGGTACATACATACAGAATGTGCATATATATATATATATGCATGTATATATTATATATATATATATACACATATGAACCACTGCGGGTAACAACCTCGAGGCCACCCAGCGGACAAATCTGAATGGTAATCTTAGCTTTTCCGATTAAGTCTCGCTTTCCGGACCAACGCGATGCTTCGGTTTTGGGGATCACGTATCGCCGGATTTGTCCGCCCGACGTCATGTTACAAGAGGCGACATTTCAGCTTGTCACTCATTTCTTGTACAGCAGGGAGGGAGAGAGAGGGAGCGGGCGAGCGAGCGAGAGCGAGCGATCCCTTTCAGACGACCGTACAAGGTACTTCGCGAGGGAGGTGGAGAGGTAGAGCGTGAGAGAGAGCGTGAGAGAGAGCGACAGAGCAGAAAATGGAATCCAATGCTACAAGGGAGGGGACATGTGGAGACGTGCTGTCGCATTCATTCCAAGGAGCTTTTCACCTGACCAATGCATCGCGTTCCCAAGCCTGCCAACTTCAGCTGGAGTGTCAAAACCGTCAAGTTTCCGAAGCTGCATCATGAGTAGTTACTAACAGCTCGGAGCGATCGACTGTAGCAGCCTGTAGCAGAAAGTTCTGAAGCAACGTGTTAAAATTACCAAACACCGAAATCCATCCGAGACCACCCGGATGCCACTCAGCTTGAAGCACAAGCACTCATAGCAAGCAGCCCCCGATGCAAGAGCCCAAAAGGCCTTCGATTGCCGGGCCCGACGGGGTTGGGATGGTCTGGGCGGCACCGCCCACAAACTGCAAGCTCCTGGCCTGCCCAGGTCGCGAAACTTCATTCACATTTACTTACAACCCCCTACCTACCTACCTACCTACCTACCTACCTACCTACCTACCTACCCACCCACATACCTACTTGCCCGCAATCAAACACACAAACTTTGGTAATCTTCCTGGCAGCAGTAACTAGAGTTTGTCACATCACTCTCTTCTTCATTCAGTTCCAATCTTCATATCATGAGCTCTTGTTTGAGGTTCTCGGCTTAGCCCCTAGCCATTTTTTCAGCTAGCAAAACTTGGCTGGCCGGATGCAGTATCCCACTCTGTAACTTAACTTCGTTAGACTGGGTCAGCCACAGCGTGCCCAGTCCCCGTGCAACAACCAAAAGCAAAAAGCTTATATTCCTTCCCTTGGTAAACAAGGCTGCGGATACAAACACACACACACAGAGAGACACACAGACACAGGGGCATTACATAACGTTTCATGTGGCTACATATTTCTTCTTCATGCGTCCGTGCACATCGTCTGTGCACATCGTCGGCTTGACGACAACGTGCAAGAACAATCGTGCGCTGCAGCTGCTCTCGCGTCAAGAATCCACGCGTGCCAAATGGACTTTCGGCCGAAGCATGCTCATGCAAAGCCGCCCGTACCTGCGGCCGACCATCTGCCGCGGAACTGACATCGTAGGCAAAGGTTATGCCATTCAAAGCACTCTCGCCTCAAGATCACAAGATTTGGCATGAATCCAGCTACACATAGACAAAAACTCGGCCGCAACAGTACTATCATCGTCTAGTTCCTGGTGACCTTCACTGACCATCGCAAACTCTGTCAGGCGATCAGCTAATGCTGCTGCATTGGTGGAGCAAAGGCAATTTGAGATCCTTGCTCTGGAATTCAGGAGGCAGCTCTCTTCGAGGGAAGAAGGTATCCTGCGTGGAAAATGACACCACACTTCACACTACTCAGCGTCTCCGAGTCTCCGTTGATCTGCAGTCTGACGAAACTTTCCAGCACTTGGCTCTCAAAGCCGAACCCCAAGAAGGAGTCTGGAATCCAGAAACTGTTGAGAGTATTCGAGGCAGGTGTGTGCTCAGCTCCTTCTCGTGACCCTCCGTGCGAAGGAATCCGAAGCCTCTGTCAGGATTCCTCGGCTTCAACCGGTTGCCCTTTCGTCAATCATCCTGCCCAACCAATCTAAAATCTTGGTCATGAATCTAAGTATGATCCGAAGTCAGCTCAACCAGACTCCAAATGTCAGGAACCACGACATGCACGTGCAGACTGCTTGCAACCTGCACACCACGGCTGCTCTTGCAGTAGGCTGTCAGACTGGTTCGGCCATGTTCTAACCCGATCATAACATTCTGGCTTAGTCCAGGCTGGCATCCAGTTCTTCACAACACCGACTCGTCGCTCACCTGTGCCTGAGATGGGTAGGGCGATCTGCCATTCTTCTTCTTCTCCTTCTCTCTCTCTACCTGACTCGGTTTCTGCTTGGGTCTGCACGCAGGCATGCACGTCTGCGTATGAACAAGAATGCATGTAAACGGACCTTTGTATCCATGTCTCTCTGTCTGTCTGTATGTATGTATGTCCGTATGTATGCGTGTGTACCTGTATGTATCTATGTATGTACACATACACACGCACACCCAGACGAAGGTGTGCGCCACTCTTTCATTCTCTTTGCTTTGCTCCGGGGCATGGAGATGGGCAGGGCAGTCTCCAACTCGAGCCGATAGCTCACCCACAGTCCGGGAATGAAGTTCAATACTGGTCAACCCGATCCCCTGCGCGTATCCACGCTCTCGTTCATGTCTTGGTTGGGTAAGAGCGGTATGTCGGAGAAGAGGACCTGCTGCACTGTAAACGGAACTTAGGACCCCCTCCGCCTACGACCCCAACAGGCCTCTTCCCCTGCTCTGCACTGCAGCTCTTTCGGCTACAGCCGGCAATCCGCTGGGGCCCCCACTGTAACACTGTTTCCAATGAAGGCAGGGGTTCGGGCGACAACTTTGAATCGTTTGCCACACTCTAATCCATACCTGTGTGTACATTCATGTGTGCCTGTGTGTATCATAGATACTGGTACCAATCAGGCTGACACTTAGGCTTTCGGAGAGGACATAACTACAGACAGCACGGATGACTCAGTGGTCGCCAGACTCTAGCAATCGGTTGGAGGAAATCACGGACAGAAACCTCCTGCGCTTGCAGCTAAGCTCGAGACAACCTCCACCACATCCTCCGCAGCCACTTCCGCAACCAGCACAGCTACCGTAGCTGCTGCAGCCACATCCTCCACAGCCGCATCCACCATAGCAGTTGCCACACCCGCAGCCGCCCCCTCCCAATCCGGAATTGCAGTTGCAACCGTAGTTACAGCCTCCGCAGCCGAAGTTGCCACACCCTCCACCCCCACAACCACATCCACACCCACAGCCGCAGCCGGAACAGCCACAGCCAGCGTTGCATCCACAACCGCAGGCACAGCCGCCGCAGCCACAGCCTGCACCGAAAGTCTGTCTGGCATGCGAGTATGTTTCTGAAATAATTCGTACCGGACTTGGGCTTCTGCTCCCACCCCGGCATCAGTCTTGATTCTTAATTGGGCAATCATGGAACCGCTCTAGCCTATGCAAGTACTGGAAGACATCTTCGCATCTCTGCTGTACACAATCAATCAGATCGATTCTGTCGGTTATGAATGGTTTTGATGCCAGTGAGCGCGGCGTCTAGAGCCTATAGGGCCTGACCCACCTTCAAAGTTCTGACTCTTGCGTAGCTGCGAAACCTTTCGTCGACCACTGTCAGCAGCGCGCGGTTTCAGCCCGCTGTTACTCCCGGTGTTACATTGACGCATGGCTATTTGGTCCTTTCGACCCTTCTCGTCCGTTCACAAAAACACATCCCATCTCATGCAACACCAAAATGGAGAAGAAAGACAATCGTGGAACTGGTTGATTCCATTTGATTCCTTTTCAAGCGATGACTCTCCGAAGTGTAGCTTCTTTGTCTTCGCTGCAGCGGAGCAAACGCAAGTTTGCTTGCAAATTGTCTCATGTCACCTGTAGAACCGTAGAGTTTCTCTGACCGCCACAATTCCCACTCAAGAGTCCAGCCTCCTGGGTTCGAACCACAGCCACAGCCGCAACAGCCGCCGCACCCGCATCCGTCACAGCCACACCCTTGGCATCCTTGGCATCCTTGGCCGCAGCCACACCCACCACAGCCAAAGCAGTTGCCATTGCAGCCAGTGTTGAAACCGCACCCTCCGCAACCGCAGCCACCTGCAAGCACATCATCAAGAGTCTGCAGCCTTGCAAAAGACTACTTACTTGAACGTATGATACACATGCGGAGCTTGCCCGTGCATGCTTTCGATCATGTCAGCATCGATGTTTTGGTTTGTGGCGATGACGACGATAGTGATGGTGGTGACGATGAGGATCATCGTGATGATGATTACGTGATGAAGAGCACAGGCTCGTCCTATCTCGAGGCATACGCAGAACTTGTAGCTCCGACTCGATTCTCTCTTGCTGGTGCTGTTTCGAGGTAGTTGTTCATCAACGTTCATGTATACGCTCATTATTACAACGTGCTGCAGCTGGCCCTCTCAGCGGTTGATGATTTGGGCTGTCCTCCATCACAACCGGTACCGCAGCCGCATCCGCATCCACAGCCGGCAAAACCTGCGCAGTAACCACATCAAAAACAGCCGTTGCCCGTGCGCACGCTCAATTTCACAAGACAGAAACAGAAGCAGGAGCAGTAGCAGCACTTGTTGCAGTACCTGTAGCAGTAGCCGGAGCACGGCACGGACATGAGCAGGAGAGGGAGCAGGAGCGCAGCAGCAGCCGTAGCAGCCGTGACAGTGGTTGCAGCTGTAGCTGTCGCATAATCACTTCCACCAGACGCTATGACTGAGGTCAACCCGTCAACCCACGCCTGTACACTATGTTGCAGCCTCTCACATAGCCCCTATAACGACGTCAAGGCATTTCAACACATGCCGGCCTACTCGGTTGGGATCTACAGCTGCCCTCTCTCTCGCACTCTCTCTCTCTCTCTCTCTCTGAAGTTTCTCGGCTATTCGGCGCTCCTCCTGCATCGTAGCCGCAGCCTGCGAACAAGTCAATCGCACAGTGGGAAGCAAACATCACGAGCCGTGACATGCCCTTGCCACAGTCCGTCCTGCACCAAAGTCGCCATAAGCAGAGCCAGCCACCAAGGAGTCAGCGGGATCACTGATGAGGCCACCTGCACTGCAGAACAGGTTTTTCGCCAAGGCCAGAGGGTACACGAGTGCCCTAGAAGCCTTTCGACGATTCTTCGAATAACAGTGGGGCGGTGTCATGGTGCAGCTTTCAGTACTGAAGCTATAACCTTGCGGAGCTCAGTGCTGCATGTGCTACCGCTCGCCGGACCCCAGAGGATGCCTTGCATGGAATCCATGGTGGCCTGATCGCGCAGCTCGGCTTCGATTTCGAGGCACGGATTTGTCGCTTCTGGTGGTTTGTCTGAGGCATGGGCCACTGAGCTGAAGCAAAGGTTGAGACGAGGCCGTTCGAAGCGTCGAGGCTGTGCCAGCTCGAGGGAATTCAGAGAGCTGTAAAGTTGGGTGGGCTGAGAACTTGTGACGACTAGCTTGTGCTGTGCTCCGCCTTGGCAGGCATCAGGGCTAACTTCTTGTGCTGCTATTGGATTCTTAACGACTCCCGTACATCCCGAAATCATACGCTACAGCTGCATGAAGTTCGGCCAAGCTTGGTAATCAGTGATCAGTGCTATGGTGTGCTGTTTTATCTGCTGCCGAGACCAGGCTTGAGCCCGGAAGGCGGCAGATCAACACTACGGGCTGCAAGCAAGACATGAGAAGCTTACGATAGCTTATGCAATACATGCCGTCGCAGCTCGAGTCTGATGGCTGCGACCTGGCCCTGGACCCCGCAACTAGACCCTAGCTCCGAGACTGCAGAGTTCATGCCCCGACGGAAAGGCATGCAACTGCTCGGAAGGTCACTCCTTCAGGACACCTGCAGCATTGAGGGCCTCGGCATCGTTTTTGACAGGGGCTTGCTTGCTTTCTTAAAACAAAACGCAACACGATGTTGAAACCCCAACAGCCCATGATAGCGATGCCCGCAAGTCCTTGAGTCTTGCAGCGAAAATCAGCCAAAAGGCACCGATGGCCAAGAGCACACCGGTAAAGAAGAGAAGACCCGTCAGATCGACCTGCAAGGCTTGTCGAAATGGGCACTCTCCGTCTCCTAGCCGTCTTACCGCAACCGGAAGAAACATGTCTTCCATCTGTGGCCTTGCGAAGCGCGCTGACGACTCCGTACTGCGGCGGTCCCCCGTGGTCATCTGACGGGGCGGGCGAGGCTTCGAGGGTCCAGCCCTCCACTCACGGGATGTCCGACAAATTTCAGCTTCCGTCCCTGTGATTGCCAGTCCTCTCACTGCCGACTGTTCCATTTGGCCTCAGCTCCGCAGTACTTCCCTGTGGCCTTCTTCTGCATCTCCATTCATCAGGTGGCCCTGGGCAGCCAGGGACTGGGCTTGATCTGCTCATCAAAAAGCCATATGGGGAATTCGGACTACAGTAAAAGGCGCAAACTGTTGTGCCGCTAGTCCAGTCGCACATGACGTGCATCTGCCAATAAGTCACTTGCAGCCACAGTTGATCTCCGGGCACCAGGCCCTGAAGTGCATCACGTCCGTCAGAAGCCACATGAGGCCCAAAGCTAGCAGCATCCCCAAGTACCTCTGGTTTCGGGAGTGAATGACCTAAACAGGAGCGTGCCCGACACACATTTATACGAGAAGCTGAGGTGTTTCTGTCCAACGCAAAACTGCAAGCAGGGTGGAATGAGCATTCTGCCCTGCACCTTCCCTAGCCAGCATCTGAGTCACCGGCGGCGGTAAGCCGCAGCCAATCTTCAGGCCGGGTACCTTTCTCGTTTCATTCAGCCAAACCATGAAACTAAGGACCATGTCGTGACAGGCAGCATGACCTACGAGTAAGAATCTGCAATTCTAGTGGAGGCATTCAGCAGGCAGTACACACAACACGCTTAGTCCAGTACACAGTCAGCTCAAGGCACGGCCCTGAATACGATCTCAAGGACTATCGGGACTGCAACACTCCAGAAAGCCTCTACCTGGATACCGGAAGAGGCAGTCCACAGCATTATCGCCAACTTTGAGCCGATGTGTGTACAGAAGCCAGGCACACCATGAGGATGCAAAGCACGCCGAAAATCAAAGCGGTCACCTGCAAGCAAGCCACGGAAGGGAAACAAAGCTCCACGAGCCAACATGCCCGAGAAGCTGTGTCCACCTTGCAAGCCCTCCGTTCAGTACGAAAGTAGTCACTATCCTGGTGATTCCTGACCACGGTAAGATTGCGGCTTAACGGCTGCGACTAGTTTCGCCATCATCACCATCAGCGCTTGCTGGCAGCAATCTGCTGCTGGCTTTCTTACCGGCCAGCCACAGCATCTAAGGACTTTAGGAGGGACCCCTAATAGGGGACCCTGAATCCCATTACCTTAAATAACCATATTGTATAGTCCTTATATACCCCTTATATAGCAAGGTAGTCTCCATATTAACCCCAATAACCTACAAGGGTCCCTATTAAGGGTCCCTCCTAAAGCCCTTAGACAGCAATATGATAGAAGCGAAAGCGCTAAGGCTTGCCAATTGCAATTGCGAAGCCGGAATCCCACACAAGCGCTGAACATGGTCGTGTCGCATGGGTCCGAGACGTTCGGTCACCCTGGCCTTCTGTCTGGTGATTTGCTCGGTGTCGTCCTCGCCAGACCACTTTTCTCCAGATCAAACACAGACTCAAGAGCGGCAGCCCTGTTCTCAACTCCAGTGCCCTTCCATTGAGCGAATCCCTAATCCCTCCAGACCCCTCCTCGTCCAAGCCTTCCTCCTTCAGAGGCTCCTGGCGAATCTCTCCATGAACTGTCGGGCATGTGGTCTTTCAGAGTCCAGCTGTCTCTGTGTCTGTGTTGCGTGTGTCTGATTTGTAAGTGCGACATGTGAGAGACAGGAGTCTCATAGCATTCTTCTGTGCAGTGTCGACCCGGCAGGGAAACGCCCAATGAGCTTACGATTGAGAGATGCTCATGTCGCGAACCCCAACGGCAAGTCCTAGCGAAATAAAGGAGGCGACAAATCACTAAGCCGTACAACTTTGGGAAGAGGGCAAAACCCGAAGACCCGGAATTCCGAGCCGTAAAGCCGTAGCTGAAATCCATAGACGGATTGGTGTCTACAGTAGCAGCCTCAACTTCAGCTGTATTCTCGCCATCTCTCATGCTAGCCTGGAGCCAAACTACCCAAAGCTCATACCTTATCCAACGTCTATCCACGTCCGTGGAGCTCAGATTCATCACGAGATCATCTACTATCAGGGTCCTGCTCCCATCCTGGACCTTTCTTGCGGTCCTGGCCAGGATGCGCTTGTTGCCCGTATGACTTCCCATACGCGCAGGCCGATGAGATCATCAAAACCGATGCCAAAGAGCGGCACTTTCAGCACAATTGGGCTTGCAACAAGACGAAGGGCTTCGAGGATGGATCTCGACGAAGGGTCCTTGATGCGGTGTTCTGCTGGCCCACGCTCCGCCAAAAGGCGACGAGCCTGGCACCTAGCACTCCGCGGACAAGAAATGATTCCATGTACATCCATGTGCTTCTTCTTCTGCAGCCCGGTCGGGCCTGAGGCCCCAGAGCGGCAGCACGCCTGCCGCAAACGACCTCAAAGACCGCACGACTAAGTGCTCCCGTGCCAGGAACTCAATGGCGCAACTCAGGCAGGCCCGACAATGAGATCACATCGCTCCGGCCCTATCCGTCTTACCCAGCGAATTGAAACCTGTCGCGGAAACTCTTTGCTCGACGTCGCGTCGTGTCAGAGGCCAGGCATGCACAGGCCAAGCCCGCCACGGAAAAAACAGCCACAGCACAGTATTCGTGGCCGTGATCTTCTCCCTGCAGTACTTACAAGCAGCTTTCAGCAGAGTTCTCGCTGTCACATTTTCGCAGTGAGATTCCACAGTCAACAGTTGATGCAAACAGCTTGGTGCCGGGCTGAATCCAAAGCATGGTGGTGGTCACATCACCGATGGGTGACCAGGCACCTGCGAACACAGTGCGGGACTCCGCTTTCAGTGTGCCTGGCCAGTCGCCTCCGGCATTCGCTGCTATCACAGCAAGGCCGCCACATAGGCGGCGATATTCCTGCCACTCGGAGGCTTCAGGCTTTCAAGCCACGACAGGCTTGCGAGCTTGGCTACAATTGCCTCATCTTCGGAGGCAAGCCGCCGCAGAATTTTTACGGCCACGATGGTCGATGTGAGATTATCGATGACCTGGCCGGGGATAAATCTTGTAGAATTGTAGAACTGCTGAGGCAATGGGACTGCTCGAGTCAAGACGCTCACTGAAGGCAGGATGCAAAGGGCCGAGTCCGAGTGATCCCTCGCAAAGCCGCAGGCAAGCGACGGAGCTGAGAAAGAACGTAAGGATGCAAATGATCGGCATCAGCCGGTCCTCACAAAGCTTAAAACGGCGGTCCGAGTGATGAGCACACCTGCCGGGTGGGACCTAGAATTGCCTACAGCAATCTTCAGTCCTTTCTTCCTTCGATGGCTCGCTTGATAGCCTGTGGACAGCTCAGCAGATCTGCGAAGCACAAGGCACACGGGCATGACAGGTTTGCCTCGACTTTTTATACATCTTTGGAACTTGAAACTATTCGGGGACGGGGTGCCGAGACCTGGCTACCACCGCATAGTACTGGAATCAAAACTCCTGACAACAAACCGCTAGACAGACCTTTCTGTGCTTCAGTATCTAACATAGGGCAGAGATTGCGCCCGGCTGCTAAACGGAGACTGACAGCTTGCAGCCAGGGCATGCCAGGGCACCATATTAGCCAAAGCGAACCCATCGAAGTGATCGATGGACTCGACGACACCTCTGTCAAACATAGAAGTCGTGGCAAAAACTGCTGGAGTACTGTGAATCGACAGCTCGTCACAGCAAGTCTTCGAAGTCCAGTCGCCACAGCACTTTATCTCCAGCTTCAGAAACACAAGATCCAATAGAAGTGATGAGCAGGCAGTAGCAAGACAGTCTCCAAAACGTAAACTCGTCACTTTACACGCCCCCTACTTGCTGTCCGAATCTTGGCAACCCGCCCATTGCTGGCAAAAGGAAGAGAAGCACGCTGCCCACGTCCTGGTGCCACATTGCATTCGGCTGCAAACAGGAAGGCAGCGAGGTGTGGAAGTCTGCGCATCATCTTCCGGATGCCTCTAAGCCACGGTTGAGCTCCTCGTGGAGCTGCATGTACCCTGCCTGCACGAAGGAAGCGACAGTGCCGAAGAATGAGATTGGTTGGATCAGAAGCCAAGCAAGCTTCAACAGAAGCTTGAGTCATTGACTCCAACTCTGCAAGTCGAATGTCTGCAGACCAAGCTCCTTCGAATTGTTTGGGTGGTAGCCGACAGCCAGGAAAGTCCACATGACCGCGGCCTGAGCATTCAAATGTTTCTCCCGGTTTTTGTGCACCCAAGCCGCGATGCATACTGCCAGAAGTCGCTTAAGAGAATGGCCAAGACCATCATCATCGCTGACTTGTTGATGCCAACAACATCCTCCCCGTGAGGCAACAACATGATGCATCAGTTACAGCGAGTCAAGCGAGGCACTAGCTAAGCTTACCCTGCGCTTGACGTCTGCAATGTGCTATGCAGATAAGTGTCAACAGCACGTCAGATAGAGGAAAGCAGCGAGAAGCATGAAGCTAAGCCCCGACATCTTCATCGTGCGATGCGACTGGACTAAACTCAACATGACCAAGCTGCATGTCTCGGAAAACCCTGACTGTCTTCCACAGCGACGATGAACAGCCCTGCCGCGAAGAGGACGGACATTACCTGCACCTCACAGCTCCATGTGCAGTTGTTTTCCCAACATTCTCAGACTGAGGCCTATGCTCTAGCATCCGGACTCTCGATGACCCACGGCGGCCTTCAAGAAGTGACAGAGTCCCTGCAAGACGGAGACCACGCTGCTGAGGCAGGCGCCAGTTCATGATGGCAATGATTAGGACCACAATCTCAGACAAGCTTCGATCTTCCACCCGAATACTTGGAATTGAATCGAAATGATACTATGTGTTTGAGGCCTTGCTAAGCTTCCGACCATGACCCCAATGCCCAGAATTTTCACCAGCCCACGCGCCTCTGTTGAGAGGACATCAGCAGGTGCATCCACAGTGATGCATGTTTCAAAGTGATGATGCGCCCAGTCGCCGTGGATGCAGCGCGGTTCAGCATCCGCGTGGTATGCCTTGACATTCAGACGGTGATGTCGCAGCACGGCAAAGTCAAAATCAATTGCTTTCCCTGGCGAGGGGCCCCGGCTCCCCGACAGTTGGCGAGCATTCGACCTCACGCGCTTGACCTCTGCAGAGTCGCTCCGAGTCCAGTGTCCTGCAAGTGCCGTTGTCCTCGCCTCCAAGTGGAAGTCGAGGAAGTTGCTCTCGTGCCTGCAGTGTTCCGAGCTTAAGAAAGTGTGGAAACCCAAGGAATGAACCAGAGATTTCATGCTTGCAAGCTTTGCCTCAACGCCACTTCTGCTGGGGGTCGCAGGCCTGGTAGCCGCTTACTCGTCCGCTTTGTCCCAACTTAGGGTATGCAACCGAAGGCAGGTTCAACAGACTGCACGGTGCCCAGCCTGCTGTCATTCAGTTCCAGATCTTCGAGCCCCATGCCGATGGCCTTCGCGAAGGAAAGAGAACAACACCACGAGTAGAACGAGATTACGAACAGATGCAGGGCTGTGACACATCCCTAGGAGCTTACATCAAGGAACGTAACGAGTTTACATCACTTGTATCCATGTATCCATGTGTTCATGTCTCTCAGTGTTTGTTCATGGTGGTCTGGAATGATACGCTCCGTATCATCAAGGAAAGCATGTAGGTTGCTAGTCCATGCAACTCTGGAGACCTGAGAGGTCAATGAATCCGGTGCACTGCCTGTACTAGTAAATTTTGGTCCTCGTTGCAGATAGCTTTATCATCGGAGCCGATGGAGCAGCGACAGACATATGAAGCTCAACGACACGGCGACAATCTTGTATCTGTTGATGTAAGCACACCTGACTGATGTAGGGATTGGCCTGGGGATGTTGGGTAATGAACCAGAAAAGCGAGGCAGAAATGTCAACCCAGGGGCAGGATGATGTGCATCCAAAACCCTGGAAAGCGTACCGCCGAGAGCAGTGGCAGTTCGGCACACTGGAAGTGTTCACTTCCGACGCGATCGGTAGGCCAAGGACCTTCGGCTCTATCGACGGCAGCTCAACCTCGTTGGCCTCAAGGTCTTGCAGCGCCAATCATGCCATGTGGCATGTTGTGGAAAAATTGAATCAGTGTCTTTCGATCAGCCTGTCCATGCTGTGCCTCCCGTCCCAGTCTCATCTTAGATATCGAGGCTTCGGCCTTCATGTCAAACGTGGACCTCGTGACGCAAGGATGCAGTAACAGGCCAACGGTAGGTTCGTACAGGATAGTTTTGCTTTGTTGCTGTCAGAACTAGAACTGTGCTGTCCACCTGCGAACAACAGGCCACCTCAACACGAAGAGGAAAGCTTCGGGGAAAGCCACGTAATTCGAGTGGTAGCTCTGGTCCACGAGTTTGACATCAGGATGTTCACGAGCCAATGCTGTGGGAGTTTGGCGGGCATTGGCATCCTCTCACCAACAACGAGGGAGTTCCTCTGGACTGGGTTCAGCTGTTCCAGTCTTTTGAACCCTGGGCGGTGGTGTGAAACTCTACTTCCCGGCAAGACGATGAGAGCCTAGACGGGGGGGAAGCATAGAGGACCAAAGCCTTGACTTGTGTTGGGCTCTCGAATTCAAAACCAGGTCACAGCATGACGTGGCTGTATGTCTCGACCACCTGCCTTGCGGCCGGCGGACCACTCTTGGGCCCAAGCATCGGCTCGATCACCGAGGCCTGCTCGATCATTCTGATTCCACTTAACCCCGGCATTCTGATGAGATGCGCAGCGACCACTTACAAGTAGAACTGGTACCTAGTGAATGCTGCGCAAATCTCACTCAGACTCCCGCAGGTGAGCTGTTGCAGAGTTTTTCAATCTGAGCTTCCCTGCCAAACGAGCCCGGCTTCGATGTTCACGTGGGCATGGCTGCAGGCTGCATAACAGGGCTTCGGGGTATCCTTAAATCTTGCTTGTCATCGACATCTGCTGTGACCACTTCACGTGTGAGGCGCATTTGTCAGCTCGTGAAACGTTAAGCATGCTGGCCCAGCTGGCACTGGCTGACTGCTTGCTAAGACTGCTGCGTTCGTGGCAGTTCATGGTTAGTCGGTGCTGCTTCCATGAGCCTTAAACCGGCAAATCTCGCAGGAAGCATGGCTCAAGTCGTGGATGTCTGGCACCTCAGGGCGATAGCGCCCTTGCTGAAAGAGCTCTTCAGTCAACGGACTCGGGCACCATGCGGGATCTTTTCTCATGTCCGCTCTCCCGTGCCTGCGTGGCCTGCAAGGACAGTCACGAGAACACACCACCAATAGAAACTTGAGAGGCAGAGCGCCTGGTTTCGAGCCCTCTGCAGCGGACCTCGAACACCGGTAGCAGGGGCGATTAGGTGCTCTCCCTCAACCGCGACGAGGCTTATTGACTCCTGTCTTCACGATCTTCACATCTGAGTATCCGGACGTCGGGAGCGCTGCCCGTCGTGCCGCGCAGGCGTAGCGCCCAATCGCCTGGACACCTCGCGGCGAAAGGCAGGGACCAAAGGAAGGATGTGTCGAAAAAGAGTGGGAATCAGGTGCTGCAGGCGAATATGTGCCGGATACAAATATTTCCAAAAGAAAAAGTTTGGGATCACTGGAGGCGCAAGGAGTACAGAGGATTTAGCTACACACAACAGGCGGTTCGTGGTGTGCGACTGTCAGCTTCAATGTCACGAATCTCATCACGACACAAGTCAAGTGGGTCATGCTGCAACCGTACTATATTGTGCAGTCGTGGTTCTTGCCGAGACTCGAAACGCAAAAACTGCCATGCATTTATTCACCTGCAGAACCACTCCGATGCATGAATACTTGAACAAGCGACAAGTACGTAATTGAAACATCGAAAGCAACTCTATAGCTTGTGCCGTACATGTGACACAGTAAGCCTCAGTAAGGTAAGCAAGACGAGGTGGAACACATGTTATCATGTTCCGGCATGTGCAGGTACTGTTGTGCATTTCTGCTGGGGTTTATCGAATTACACACCTTGATGTCTGTGTACGCATGCATCTGCAAGCGTTATACTGTGATGTCATGTTTCTGCAACGGAATTCAATATGGGCAGAGGAGTGCAATGGAAGGCCAGCACCGCATTGACTTCTCACCGCGCTTTCCACCTTTTGCCTCGATTGGAGGCTCAGGAGCACGGCTCTCACCGTGGTCTCACGGAGGCCTAGCGCCTCTCCCTTGAGACTGCGCGAGGCTCCCTGGCGTTTGCCTGCCATTGGCAGGCCTGATAAAGGTCCTGTACACTGCCAGATTTGCCCTACGACCAATTAATTCTGAACCCCCTGGAGGGATGCAGTGGAGATGCAGGCAAAACATAGACTTGAGGGAGCCTGAGATTGCTGGCGCTAGATTCTAGTGATTTTCCTTCATAAAAGACTCATATGACTGAATAGCTTCTCGCCCTCTACTTGTAGATGGTTGAAATGAGAACTACAGGATATCCGGGTCACAAGACTTAAAGATCGCTGTCAACATCCATTGTGATGACATCGCTAGCATAAATTGTTCCGCGACTGCTCCGGCCAGAAGCCGAATGCAGCCTCAGAAAATCTTCATGTCAACTGCTCTAGAGTGTCTAGAGTACCCATCGTCACGGACAAGGGCTTCTGCAGAGCAGGCAACTGATGGGACTTCTATCCAGGGTTGACTTGACAGACAACTAAATTGAGAGATATTGCAGCCGAGCAAATCAGTTCTGAGACACATCAAAGACTGCCAGCAATCATGAGCTCACACCCAAGAAATTGCCGCTCAAGCAGGGATGCTCAAAGTCATGAGCCCGCTGCTTTAAAGCCTTAAAGACTTACAGTTCGGGCGTCTTCCCGAGGTGCAGGCGGGCCGCTGGCCTGGTTCTCGCCTGTTTCCGGTGCTTCGTTGACTGGATTCCGACTCCGACACTTGCGAGGCCCGGGCCCCTGCCTGAAAGTCGTGCCCGGTAGCGACAGATCGTAAGGGCGCACGAGCCTGGAGAGCCACGCTGACGAGACCAGAGGCAATGCAAGATGAATCTGTTTAATGTGTACTAGCAGTAGCACGCTTCGCTGATCGCAGCTGCGGGCTGAGTCTGGAGATGCTTGCAGGAAGCAGCTGAAGGCGATCAAGACGGCCCCAGCAGCCATAAAAGTGCCCGAGGCCTCCCATGCACAGACAAGCCGCAACGTGTGTCGCAACACCCGCCCCAGTAGTTGTAAAGCTCTTGGATCTGGGTCGCTGGCAAGCATGGAACATGCACCCGAGAACGTCAGCGCACGGACGACGTCCTGCGCAAAGCGAAGTATCTGTGAAGAAACGATAGAGATAGAGCTCACCGCAAGCACCGAAAGGACAGGGACCCGCCTTGAAGGTTTCTTTGTTGATGCGCCTCGCCTGAGCCAAAGGGGACACCAATGCTCTTGGGTAAAGACCCCATCATGCGCCATACGTGAGCTGTGGCTTGTTCTGCAAGGCCCCAGACTCCTTGCTCCTTGCCGAGCCACGATGAAATTCCCAAGTGGAGTTGCACAAAGCATCCCCAGCACGGTCGCGATGTACCTGAAGCTGCAGTTCGCTTCCGACTCTGCAGAATCAGAACAGGCCTGTGCCCTGCCAAACACAGAGCTGCCGGCGTCGTATCAAGATCTGCACGCAAGATCTACGATGGCATATGGGCCCTCCCTTGCCAAGTTGCTGTGGCACCCTCCGTTTGTCGAATTTTTTCTCCATGACGAAAAGATAATATGCCTGAGCGGAGTCCGGCCAACATCCAGAGCACTGAACAGAACAAGGTTCCAAATTCCAAGCCCTTGCTGCCTTTGTCGGTAGCCCCGCCGCAGAATTGAGGACGGAATTGGCACGCCAGGTATCTTTATCCTGATCAACGCGCACCGATGCCATTGACATCCCGAGAATTAGACGATCAAGATGAACCGTCTTGGCATCTTTTATGTTCGTTCATGGTGCGACGCCAGAGAAAAGAATGAAGATCGTCAAGGCCGGCATCGGGACAGTGTACATGCCTTGCACAGCAAGTCTGTCGGCTGGCACAGCAGGGCAATCCTACAACATGCAGTTGTGGCCGCTTCACATCCTGCTTATTCTGCTAGCTACGGTGATCAAACAGATATACTAATCCAAGTATTGCAAGTACAGCAGAATGAATCATGCTCGCTGCACCTTTCAGAAGCCCACCAGTCGCACCGAGGGCTATGGCCTTGCCAGGACGTGTCGGCAGTCAGGCATTGCGTTTGCACAGGAGCCCTTATGAGTCCTTCCCAGCACCGGTCTAGCCGGCCTTTGCCAGGTCACGCGGTCTTGCCGGGTCGAAGCCAGTGGGCGAAGGCTGCTTCCTTGCTTTTTTGGTGTCTCTGTTTTGCGAGGTCATGCCAAGAAGCCTGGAACAAGGTGAGCAAATCAGAGACAGTCAACGCAGGAAGCCAGCTAGTTCAACACCCTTCACTCTGCCGATGGCCAACCTTGAATTGAAAACATAACTGGAGGCCAATCCCTGCGTAACGACGTCGGCGATCCTTGTGATCCCCAAAACACATTTTCAATTGCACTCAAACACCAGAAGGTAAATTGAACTGCCAGATACCACGAGATGCCAGTAGCAAGTGCTTGAAACTCCGAAAAACCCGTGCGGACGCCCAAAGATGAGTACCTGAAATATATTCGCACCTTCTGAGGTACCCAGCTGTCGGTGTCTTTTTGCCGCCACGATTCTGCAGGACCTGCGACCGTTCGCCTGCCTCGCCAGTCTCGACCTCTGCGTCTGGCACAGCTGCAGTCTCCTGCCCACCTGAGCACAACCGATTTCTTGGGAAGCTCCTTCCTGAAGCTGCACGCAGGGACCGCGCTGACGACCGTCGGCTGACCGAATGCCTGCCAGATGGTATAGCTGTGACCACGCTGCTAGCCATGGTAGAGCACCGAAGAACTCAAGCTGTTGCTGCACTGTTGCAGGTCATTGCATTTCCTAATCAAGCTACGATGTTAGAATGGCCACTGCTGAGCATTCATCAGCCATGGCGAAAGTCTTATATAACCGGAAGTTGCAGTAGGAGTCCTGACCGCAGAAAAACTAGCAATGTTCGAGGTGAATGCCTGCGCCTTCTGCGGGCTGTCGCCGGCAGAGCTGGATGCCTGCACTGGAGGATGCGCTTTCGCACGCTCTGGCCATGGATGGTTCGGCTCGAAACGACCCCACTTGCTACATCTCAGGTCCCATCCGGATCGGCCCAAAAAATCAAACCATCCCGAATTCCACGGTGTTTTGAGGGCTCTTCAGCCAGCTGCAGCTCTGCAAAACCTAAATCTCCAAGCACCGCGGTCGCTCCTGTTGTCGGCTGAGGCCTCTAGTGGCTTGTGTTGAAGGCTACCGGTGCTTAGGCCGAACGTGCTGAGGCCCAAGGCACCTGTCGGTTGCGACGGTGTTGCTCAAAGGCATCCACCAGCAAAACCTCAGACAGCAGCAGTCTGCTGGACAAACACTTAGCTTCTACACATTCGATGATACAAGTTCCCCGCGATCATCACTCTTCGATCTCCGGGCTATAAAAATGAGTCCGTGTGCGTATTGACGGGGACAGTCTTTCTATTCAGATGATCGATTATCTGGTTTGGACGAGCAGCTGCTACAGAGTCGGCAAGTCGTAGTTGTAAGTGAGTTTTAGTCTCGTGTCTTAATGCTTCTTGTCGAAGCGAGGATTCACCTTTGAAAAGTCCTGATGACGGGCTGTATAATGGTGCACCCCTCGCGCAGCAGCACTTCCCGCCTGTGCGACTCTCGCTGCAGTCATTGCCAAGGAGCAACGAATAGAAGGATGCCGAAAGAGCGCTTCAGCCAGGGCGAATCACTGTTAGCGATCAGCACCTCCGAAAAGTCAGCTCGGTTCTTAGCTGGGTGCATGCACGTTGCAAGCTCGGCAGTGCTGCCCTCGTGCCAATGAGCTCGAAGATCGTCCATGGAAGCCACATCGCTATGAGGAATCGCAAGTTGATGTGAGCCCGAAGCGTCCAAATCTGAGTTCAGTGGCAGCATGCGGGATCTCGCAAGACAGCAAGAGACAGAGAGAGAGAGAGAGAGTAACAAGCATCCCATGAGGGCGTGACAGTGTAGATCGAGCCCAAGTCGAAGAACACCTCGCTGGAGGACCGCAGCTAGATTAATGAAATGAAAGCATACATGGTACCTGACCATGAAATCAGCTCATAACAAGAGGCCTGGTGTTGCGAGGAAGTGTCACCCCTGGTTCCTGCGACAAGCTTCAATGAAAGCTGCTGCATCCTCGAGGGAACCGATGTTGTAGCCAAGGGTATCCGACAGCCTCGGCAAACGAGTGTCGCATTGACCGAAAGCATTGTAAATGACAGGGAAGTGAGTGTGTAGACTGGCTGAAACATGCTGCAACATAAGATCTCCACAGAACTCCATGGACCAGTACAGTGACAGGCTGACATGACAGGACTTCCTTCCAGCTGCGTCGCAGAATTCCTGTTGTGAAGATCCTCAGACCGTCCATGCATGAGAAAGCAGAAAAATCGTCCAGGCTTGGTCTGTTGGTCTGTGGTTCGATAAGCAAATCGCTCGGCTTCAAGCCAGCAAAGCTTCGGAATCCTCATCCATAATATAGCATAAAATAAAGTATATACTATATAGTTACCGTTGCATAATGCATCACCTATAATATACAATATCACATATAACTTTCATGCCAAGCGTCATGTACCCGCCCAAGGATGCCACAACTCTTGCCAAACCGCTCGCATTGCTCCTGGGGCTTGTATACATACTGGCGGAGATTCAGCGGGCTCAGCAAACGGATTCTAGCAAATCGGCGGCTCATGCCAGAACCAAGTCATAAGAAGTACCTCCGTGAAGTTTCCATTCCTTCCAGCTATCTACCGACGCATGAATGCATGCATGGAATGATAGTGACCATCTCCATCATACAAAGAACGTCGATCAGATGAGCAGTTTTGTCTGATCTTGACCTCACACTCAGAACCCACCCGGTAATTGCAAAATCCAAGTCGAAGAACGTAATCAGAACCCACCCCCCTCCCGCCCGTACTTGCAAAATCCGAGACGGGCAAGTGGATGTAAACAACATGGACTTGGTCTAGAAACTGTTAGACAGTCGGGCCAGGACCACAGCAGGAATTATTCTTTACGGGGTCTCCGCCAGCAGCAGCTGCTACGGCCCCAACACGTGCCTCATTACGGGAAGGAGTCTAAGTACGATGTGAACACTACAAGGTGCAGAACAGGATCCTTAGAAGGAGACAACCCTAGGACCATGTGCAGACAAGCAGCAATGCAAACGTCAGAGCTGCTGCCGGCAGGCCATAATGCTCCATTTGGAAAAACAGGAGGTGAGAGGGATGCTTCTTGCGACGGACTGGAGATGAAGTGAAGGGGTCCTGACTGCATCTCCGTGAACTCGCATCAGTTTTCATGCACACTTTTCAAGCCCTTGCCAGCACTCCCTGCTATACCTAACAGCTGACGTGGCTTGGTTTGCTTCGGGATGGCGGCTTCTTCGTCTTGAGCCGGCGGGCGAGCCGAAGTCCAAGCTGGACGCTGAGACAAGTTGCTTCCCACGGAAGCAAAAACCAGTGCAACAGAATGCAGCACCTGACGCTCCAAAGATATCCCTATCGAACCGACTGGGTGCCCAAGCACATCTTCAACTGCGCACGTTGGCTCCCTGTTGTGGCCGCCTTCCGAGAGGTTTCTGGAAGCTGGCGCAGCTCTACAGGAGTTTGTATAGGATACTTGCATCAGCAAATTGCCAAAGTGGCACAGATACGCCGAAAACCCCCGTTCCCGTCCTGCATCCAGAGCACCCGAGCTGCGTCTGGGTCGGGCTCAAGGCCTCCTAGGCCTTGTGCCCAGAAGGAGGTATCAACTTCTCTGATGCAGAAAGACGAGCTGCAAAGCTCTCGCCCGCCTTCATCCAAGATCTCCCCTAGACCTCAGCTGGGGAAGCCAATGACACTCAGGCATGTCTCAAACGGTCTGGTCCTTCCCCAGCTTTCGGCATTGCATCGATCGGGTGTGCGGATTCCATCTGACATGCCGCGACGACGTGGATGCTTCGGTTCGCCACACCCAAACTGCCAAAGGCTATTCAGAGAGGTCTCGGCCACTTGGTGACCGAAGTTCCGAACGCTCTGCTATTGGTCCCCGCTGATGGTCTCTACTCCCGGCCGATTAAATCGGTTGTATGATGTTTCTGCTGCTGTGCTGGGGCAACCACCCAGCAGCGCTTCTTCGTTGTTCGAGTCCTGCACAGGATCATTTGACATCGTCGTCTCCGGTCCACTGCGACCCTGCGCGGTGGCTTTTGGCCAAAGCACCTCCTGCAAGCTCGCCTGGAACAGCTTGACCGCTCGCCTGATGCAGCTCTCTACATGCACACGACTCTGCTTCCAGTGCAGTCTCGATCGGTGGGCTGGCCTGATGTCCTCGAACTTGCGCACGGCCTGGCACCGAATGGCCAACTCTCTCCATATCACTGGTGAGAGAGTCTGCCCTGCCGTGCCAGCCTCATCTTGGTCGCGATAGGCTCTCAGCAAGGCCGCCTAGGACAAAAGCCGACATCATGCCTACTATAAGACACTGGCTTGAAGATCGGACGAAAATTGTTGTGGCTCTGGGCAGCCCGCCGCACGCTCGCTGAGCTCGCTCGCAATGGTGGGCTCAACCTTTCAACTCTGGCCGGAAATGATGGGCAGGACATTGCGGCACGCATAGAGGCATAGAGAGCCTCATTACGACGGGCCCCTGCCTCCTCTGCTTCCACCTGGGAGGATGCTGCACGCTGAGTGTCCTCCTGACTTCGCTTCCTCGGCAGTCGAAGCGGCGTCTCCAGGTATGGCAAACTGAGGTCCGTGGTCTGAGCCATCATGGCAGGACTTGCGGCTGAAGGTCGCCTCTTCCAACTTCTGCTTTGCCTCCTGCCACCATGTAACAATGTACTCCGTTGCGCGCAGTAGAACACGGAACTGTCGGTCCCAAACAAATGTGGGAAAGTATCTCGTCCAGCCTCCAGCAGCGAGGACAAGGTGTCAGAATCACCCAGAACCTGGCAGAAACAATTTGCAGTGATGGAAGAGGTAACCCATCTTTAACAGTCGTGTCGATGCTTCCTGAGCCCAGAAGACCATTGAACTCATTTGTTGAATGCTTGCTTTTTCGTCCCTGTGGGCCTTGATGCCACGCATGCAGAGTGCAGCAGCTGTGTCTGGGCGATTAAGTCCCAAAGCAGCTGTAGCAGCCCGCCAGTACGCCCGTCCGTTCAGCTGGTCCTGAACAAGACCACTGCTTGCAGCGAATTCAGAGAAGCATCAAGTCGACCAGTTGAATGTTGAGGACTCCTGTGACTACTGCTGCCTGGAATATTCTTTGCAGCCGCGATGGCCAACTGATGCAAATATGATGCGCTTGCGGAAACGAGGTGTCTTTCACTCTGTGCAGGTTCTACTGCCCCACCCGGCTGTCGCTGTCAGGCTAGCTGAGCGGGGAGACCCAGACTCTGAATTCTGAGAGACGGGCATGCTCAAGTGCAAACTCGGAGTCCTGTCCAGAGAGGTTTTTGAGTATTCAAGCTGTAAAGTAGGTCTTGCGGCCCACATGATGCCCAGTAAGATTACGCAGTTGTGAGATGTAGGTGTCCAGCCCGGAGGGGGGCAATGCAGTCACGGCTCAAACATAAAGACATCATGAACAGCTTGAAGCAAGAAACCGGGCGCAGCACATAATTGTAGGGTTCAGAGAAGCATTTCACGAATCATGATTTCGATTGCTCGCACGATTTCGAAAGACATGCCAGTTGCTGTTAATCCAAGGTTTTACGCGAAGACCTGGCAGACTGCTTGGTTGAGACTCTGAACGATACAGCGTCTGGGGATCTAGGCAGAAGTGCTTCTGCGGCACGAGCATGACATGTGCCCACTCTCTCCCAACACATCAAGGCACCAGCAGCTGTCTTGGTCTGCGGAAGCACTTTGACATGCTGCATTTCGAGCTTCAAGGCAACGCATTCGTTCATCGCACGGGTTGAAAGCGGGACGGCCAATAAGGCTTTGGGTTCCCTAAGTTCCCAACACTTGCCGTTCAATACCATGGAAAGGCATGGAATTAAATAACACATGGTCACATGGTCTGAGAGAGATCAGCAATGACAGCAATGAATATCCAAGCCAATTAGTTTGCAATAAATCTCCTGGCATCATAGGTCTCGACATGCAGTACGTCTTTGCAAGGGGCCGAACGACATTGGATCGAGATCACTGTCATGGATACCAGCATAACGGATAGCGCCGACGCGAGAAGATTGATGAAGACTGCAAAAGAGCGTCTTTTCAGTGGCACGAAGACAGACACGATGAGCGGTCAATGCAAAGGATACTGGTTTGCACCAACTGCGGTGCTGTGACAAACAGTTCGACAAGCAGAAAGGGATGCACCAGGATGCTCAGCTTCCAATCTCCGAAAGACCTTCTTGGAAGTGTCCCCCGCTCGATTTGAATTGAGATCTTCCGCTGCGCTTTGCGATCACACAAACTGTTACATTGTTACTTCTAGGGCGAGCGCAAGGTGTCTGACCAACAGGTGTAGTGATGCCGCGGCTGTGTCATGCAAAACGTATATTTACCGCCGCGCTGCAAAGCCAGGCTGGGACATCTAGTGATCCACCCTTCTTTGCATCAAATTTGCGATTCATTTGTTCATTGCTAGCTGCAAAGCCAGGCTGGGACATCTAGTGATCCATCCTTCTTTGCATGAATTTTGTTCTTCCTCCGACGAATTATTTGCGCTGCCAGCGACGCTGGCGACGCTGGCCCCGCTCGCGCGGTGCCATCCACCAAGCTCGGCCATAGCCCCTGCCAGCGTTGTGATCAAGTGGCGGCGGGGATGGGGTTGAGGACGTTGAGCTGAGCGATGTACTTGCCGACATTTCATCGCTGCCCTTCCTGGAGGGAAGCCGAGGACGTCGCTCTTTTTTGTGGACTCCTTGGCATTGAACAGGATGGCATGGTGTTTGGGTGCAAACCGCCCAGAGTGGTTTGCCTGCTGAATGTTCTTGCAAGTAGGCGTTGACTCTCATGGCGATTGCATGTGTTGGCCGCGCTCGACGTGTCTGCAGCTTCTGGGTGTCTGTGACCACTTCATCGATGGCCCCGGCACCACCGAGCGACGTAAGAGGGAGGGACAGAAACCTGCTGCCCTCCTGCACAAGGCATGTCTCGGTCGGCATGTACCAGATTTCTGTTTGTGCTGGCGGAGCTTCTATACAGTCTTCTATGCTCTCCTGCTTCTCCATGATGGCCATCTCTAGGGCGCACAAACGGGCAAACCCACCAAGCTTTGGGTCTATCCCATATTCACCAAGGATTTTGGGAGTCACTGGGGTTGCTGGCATCAGCGGAGTTGTAGATCCCATGGCGAACTGCTGCTTCAGCTTGAGCCCCGTGTTTCGACCATCAAGCTCGAACAAGGCAGGCAAGCCTTTATGGTCTGTTGCTTGGGGCTTCAGCTTTCGGGCGAGTCTAATTACTGCGGATCCGCCTTACCAAAAGCACACAACGCATGAAACCGTAAGTTCCGCACAAGGGCTTGGAATGAGCCTCAGGTTCTTGCAAGCTAAACCCCTGCGAGTAAAGGGCTATGGGGACGGAGGTTCAAGCCTTTTTCAGTCGTTCCACCGTCAACCCTTAGGCACAAAGTCCTGCAGGGCTTCCGCCTGCTTTCCGATGCGTGCCTGCGCCTGCGGACGATGGGGTTTCGGGCTGACTAAGGGGACCTATCGTTCCGCGTGACAGACCATCGGCGTGGCTTGGGTGGTTGAGGCTTCGGGAGCTCGTGTGTGGGGGGGCTGAGGTTAGAGTTTGAAGAACAACAGCGTACACAAGAAAGGTTCACCAAGCTGCGAGCAGATTTCAGCATGACATGGGATAGTGACGAAGAGTGGGGCTGTACATCTAAATTTACTGTCGGACACGTCAGGGGGTCATGGTTGAGCGCAACATCATCTGAAACGGCATTCTGAAGAGACACGGCCTGAAGGAGATGTTCGATATTGTTCGATGTTCGACAGCTGCCGAACACTCAGCGCAAATTAAACGCTGACTGCTCACATGCTGTCGCCGTCAAAAATCGGCAGGGCAATTACTTTCGCAGCCGACGCCCAGACCGTCGATCATGAAGCACCAACACACTTCATGAGATTCAGGGCTGCTCACGCTCGCACACGTCAATGCATCCGCAACCTTTATCGGCTGAGTGGCTCTTTTGCGATCCGGCCTGCGCACGATTGAGATAGAGCTGGCTCAGAAGCTTCCCTTCCACACCAGCCTCCTGCAGGACACATGCTCCTTGATCCCCGACGATAAGTCTGTGAGGCAATACTGGCAGTTGTGCAGAGGGCCTTGGCCGCATCAATGCCCCGAGAGTAGCATTCCTTGGAAGTTCTGCATTGCAACTGAAGCAGGACATCACTCGATTCAGAACCGAGGGGTTGACCAAACGCGCTGGATTCTTAGACATCTCTCGCTGCCTGCTTCTCTCTGCAAAAGGAAGGTCTCTGTAATTGAGATTCCGCGATAGGCGATATGGCCCAGGCTTCTTTCAATAGCCACCTTTCTGCCCGATCTGCGGTAGATCATTATGTAGTCTGATGAGTTGCAAAACGCTTTCAGCAGGGGGAGGCTTTGTCATCTTTCTGTCTGTGTTGGGATTGCAAACATGAGTACAGCTGCACAAAACTCGTGGGAGGGGCCGCAAGCTCCGACCGACCGATGAGAGGTGATGAGCAGAAGCGGTGTGTGGAGAAGCTTCACGCGCTTGGCAGGGGTGCTCGACAGAGCAGGTCAATGCAGGAGCAGTGGATGTCCCAGCGTGGCCTGCTTCACAGTGTGACGCAGGCTGGGCCCAGCCAGCCATGCACATCTGTGGGCAACTTTCTAGATGATATTCAGGCACTGCGGGACCGTCAAATTTAGAGGGGAGTCGTTTTGGTGTGGCTGCACCAAACGCCAGCAGCTGCAAGCTCCGCCAACTGCCCTTTCACACACAGAGGAACGCGTAAAACCGCCACTCCCTGGTTGGGATCTCTTGTACCTCTAGCCGGCTGCCTTGGCTGCTACAAGAAACGCCAGGTCCGTTATGTTGTCAACACTACTGGGACTCCGACTTTCCAATCTTGTTTCGTGCATCATGCATCAAAGCATTAGTCTGCATTCCCGTCAGTGTGATACGAGAGGATGCATTCAGCTTGCTTGGCAATGCCAAGGCTCGACAGCGCCGGAAACATCACCCTGCATGCTCAGGGGTCTGGGCTCATCTCAGCATTGAAGTGATGGTAAACACCTACGACTTGCGCCTCAGTGAGACGCGCATTGCCGTCGGACTTCCACGTTGCTACCTCTAGCTCTCAAGGACGGTGAGGCTGTGGTGAGAATTGAAAGCTTTCGTGCCAAAACCGCACCGCACAGAAAATGCGACTAAGCCACCCTTTCTTCGCAAAGCCTTGGCTGCATCAGCACTGAATCTCTTAAGCTTCTTGGGCGAGCTTCGAAACGGATTTACCTTGTGAACTCCCTTACACAACTAGTTGTCCGAGCCCTCGCCCGAAGAGCCAAGGAACCGTTTCACCTCGGCTGCCTCCGGTCCAACCTTTGGCGGTCCCGAGGCGTAGCCCTCGAGTCAAGGTCTCTGGTTTGGAAGACAGTTTCCACATTCTCACCATGTGACAGGAGATCAGAAAGAAGAGACTTTGCCTCGGCTGCAGTGGGAGCTCCCGTCATGGCTGCAGGAGGCTTCGGAAAAGAGGTCCTCGGAGTGTCGGATGTTGCTCAGATCTTAACATCATGCGCTTTGCCGCTGGCTAGAGCTGCCAACTACAAGCGTGGTGGAGGTGGATATCTTGCTGGCGCAGCAAAGACGCCATGTAGACTTGGAGTGTTTGCTGAGCTACCAAGGCTTCTTATACTTTGGGCAAGAACGCGGCCTCATCCACTAAGTCGCTATGGCAAGTCTCACATGAACACAGGCAAAAGGGGATCGTATCGCTCCGAAACAGGGGATCGTATCGCTCCAATATCAAGACACAACAACTAGAAAGTTGTTCCCTATCCAAAGTGAATTGCCATTTGCGCGGCTCGGAAGATATGTAAAGCTAGCTATTCTTGGTCGTATGGGCATGGTTCTCCAGGTTCGGTATCTCGCCATGCAGAAGGGGCTGCAGTGGTTTTGATGGTTTCTGTTGGGGCAATTCAGAACTGTGACATGCCAGCACGACCACTATCCTCCATAGCGGCACGGGGGTGCATTTCAGTTTGCCTGGCCGCTTCAGCTCAGAGAAAACTATGCTACCACCCGGGTATTACATCGCAGATGGGTATTGCGGTGCTTCGTCAAACCAGGCAGGGTCGAGAGCATGGCCACTTGGACGTCACGGTCAAGGTTCGACATTGAACAGAAACGAAGCTTGGACAGGATCTGCTAGCTCCACCGGCACGAAGACACGACACACCATGCCCCATCTGAGTGAAAACTTAGGAACCACACATGCCGGTCAAATGTTAATTATGTGATGCTGGCCGCTTCTGACCGTGCAGAACACGCCTTTTTCGCACACCAGTGCCGGCACGCTTCTGGTCTTAAGGGCGCTTCCTGCAGGCAGAGTTTGCAAAGAATGTATTGCTGCATCGCGTGATGTCAAAGTTCAGAGCATGGGGTTGAAACTCTACTACTACTACTACTACTACTACTACTACTACTACTACGACTACCACTACCACTACCACTACCACTACCACTACCACTACCACGACTACTACGACTACTACTACTACTACTACTGCTACTACTACTACTACTACTACTACTGCCACTACTGCCACTACTACTACTACTACTACTACTACTACTACTACTACTACTACTACTACCACTAGAACTACCGCTACCTTTGGCGCTGCAACTGCCACTACCACTCTCGACAATAAAGAAGAGCAACAGC